TTTGATCGTCTTCCGGAGTTGGTAATGTGCGTGTTTGTAGTCCGATGTGTTCGCGGAGGCAAAGGCGGAGTAGAGGGTCATGGATGGATTTGTATTCAGAATCAGTATCAGAATCCTTCCTTAACCCCGTATGAATGCTTTTAAACTTTGAAATCCAAGGATATTATCAGAGGCAGATTTCCTTCCTATTTCCTGTTTTTCCTGCGGCTGTGTCCGTCTGTATCACTCTGGCTTCACAGTGTGATTTAGGACTTTCATCCATCTTTACGCTGAAGGAGGATTAAACACTTTGGATCATTTTTATCTTTGCAGGTCGTTTTTTTTTATTTTATACTAGAATCCATTTTTGGTTAATTGTTTGTTTGGTTTTTAACGGATGTTTTCGGTTATCAGCGTCATCTGTAGACCGATCATTTAGGTATATCCCAGTTTTTTGTTTTAAAGTTATACGGCACTCTCTACAGTGAGCTGAAGACATGTGTCCCTCTGTCTCTGTCCTCTCGGGCCTTGTTGTGGCTCCTCTGCTCTCTGTTATCCAGAGCTCAGTTAGACTCATGTGTGAGTGTAAGAGTATCACACACATATCTTTTCCCAGGGTGACATTGAAAGAAGTGTATAAATGAAACTCGCAGCACTCACAGAGACGTTCACTGTGTACTCTTTTGCTTCATGGAAGTAAAATAACTTCTGTTGTGTTTTATTCTTTTTTTCAGATTAGATTCATGCAGTTTATCAGAAACCAGCTGTGATCATCTGGTCTCAGCTCTGAAGTCCAACCCCTCCCATCTGAGAGAGTTGGACCTGAACTATAACATGAACCTGCAGGACTCAGGAGTGAAGATGCTGTGTGGATTTCTGCAGAGTCCAGACTGTAATCTGGAGACACTCAGGTCAGAGTCTGTCATGTTTCTGTCCGACAATATTGTGAGTGAAAGTTGACTGTGGGTTGAATATCAACTAAGGTAGTAGATCAATCAGATGACCACACTAATGACATATAGAGAGTTTGGTTGGGGGAGCAGACAGTTTGTCCTTTTTAATTCACTTCATATTTTCAAATCCCTTCAGTTTCAGTCTCTGCGGTTTGTCAGAGATCAGCTGTGCATATCTAGCATCAGCACTGACGTCCAACCCCTCCCATCTGAAACATCTGGAGCTGAGTAACAACAATGTGCAGGATGCAGGAGTGAAACATCTGTGTGGGTTTCTGGAGCGTCCCTGCTGTACGCTGGAGAAACTGAGGTCAGACATCACAATTTAGTTGTTGCTGAAATGAATATGTGACAGTTGCAGATATGACTGTTATACTGACCCCACTGAGTCTTCACTGTAAAATCTGTTGTTTTCAGTGATTTTCATCCAATCGTAGACACTTCTCAGAGTAGCAGTTGTAAGATTGTCTCATGATTTGTGATTTTAATCCATAAAAACTGTACTGGCTGAAATATTCAGAGATAAATATGTCCTTACACTTTTATAGCCTTCCAGCTTTATCTTAAAGTAGACAAACTGAAAATAATAACGTTGTCCTGCATGAAGTATGTAGGCTCTGTGCTCTAGCACTAGCTTTTCTCCTGACATGTAATTAGTCTGCATGAGTTCTGGCATAAGGGTGTTTTAGAGGAAGTAACATGTTGTCGGCCGTATTAATGAGAGGTCTTTTTCACTGTTTGAAACTGCATGTTGGCTTCAGGTGTTTGAAACGCTGATAAATAAACTTGCATGTTTTTAAAGTTTAAGGAGCTGCAGCTTGTCGCACATCAGCTGTACTTCTCTGGCTTCAGCTCTGAAGTCCAAACCCTCTCATCTCAGAGAGCTGGACCTGAAGTACAACAACCTGAAGGATTTAGACGTGAAGCAGCTGTCTGATCTTGTGGAGACTCCAGACTTAAGAGTGGAGTGAGTCACTGCTGATTTCAGCAACACTGTGTTACATGTATATTATTATGTATGCAGTATATCCCAGAGCTTGATTTAGCTAAAGATGATGGTGATGGCTGTTGTCTGTGTTGATCTTTGCAGGAGATAAAGCTGGATGTAGCTGACAGCCAGTAAGATGCACAGAGATACCTGCCCTCTTTTTGTCTCTCCGCAGCTTGGTTGGTTCTGATTGGACCTCATCTCTCCGCAACATTATTATCTCATTTTTATACACACTGACAAAAGTATCAGTACATTTCATCCTGGTTTGGTTTTTGTTATCGTCTTGTTTTCATCATGGAATAAATGTTGTTACTTTTTACTGTTTGTTCGTTGTTAGAGTTTAATTAGCATCCCGGTCGTGTTGGCTGTGAACTCCATGTTTTTGTAAAAAAAGAAAATTCTTCTTTTTGTTTAAATGAAGTTATTATTATTGTCACTTTGTCTTCTGTGAGTTTTGTGCTTGTAGTTAGGGGGTGGGTTTAAAAAAATCGATTTTAGCTTGAATAACACAATATCAATTCATTAAATCCTAGATTAATATTTAAATATAAATGTATTTTACCAGAAATGCCAGAATCTCAGTTTAACGCTCACAAACCATTTAACAACCACCAAACAGCTAAAACTGTAAATGAGAGCAAACAAACAGAATCCACACGAAGACGTAAACACAAAGTGTGAATCGTTCACCCAACGGCGCATACAGCCGACAGCTCACAGATTCCGAAGCTGCAGGTTTCGTCACTCCAACCAAATTTGACTGAACCAGCAACAAAAGAAGATCCAAACTAAGCTTCACATAAACATCGTCATGGATTCCCTCTGACTTTGGCTGTTTTTCTTCCACCACAATAAAATCACACTTCCTGCACATCTCTCTCTCTCTCAGTGTACTTCAAGAACAGTTTCCCATCTCAAATCTCTGTTTTCTGCATTATTCTCTTGGTTATTACGCACCAGTCTACTGTTGTGTTCAGTGCTGTTGGCCTCTGTTTTTGTTTGTTTGTTTATTTTTAAATGACCTAAAACAAAGTCTCATTTCTGCTGTTCGATACCAAAGAAATTTATATTTTTTTAATTTATGCCAAATTACAAACTCTCAGCTTTGTCTCTAATCAACCCTCTGCAACTTTGCTCTGCTTCACTTCAGCAGCAACAGGTCATGTTCAGATGTTGATTCGTGGTTTTCAGTTTTTGTTCGACGGCAGAATCATTTTAGGGATATCTGCTATAAAAAGCCAGAACAGGAAAATCTGCTTCATGGTTTTCTGTTTTGTCCTCCGATAAATCCTCGGCTTTGTTTTTATACATAGATATAAAATATCCATATTTTATATCTATGTATAATATATTTTAAAAATGTAGTGATAAATGATCAGAATTATAATATTTCTGTCTGAGTCAAAATTGAATTGAATCAAATCGATTATAGAAATCGGTGCTGATACCCGACCCTAGTTGTAATCAAATAAATGTGTATGTACTTTGGCTAAGCCTCTGTTTAAAATCCCATAAGATAATAATTTTAATTAAAATGGGCTTGGCTCTGTGTGTGTGTCTTGACTTAATAACAAATATTCACATTAATAAGAATAACAAGTTCACACAGATGTTTTAATCACTGCTGCAGTCGTGAGTGCAGAGAAGGCTGACAGGCTGAGGAATGAGGAAATGAAAGTGAGTGTCAGGTTGTTTAGGTGCAGTGAAGGGCGGAGTTTGCCGTCAGCCAGCAGGTTACCTTCACAGAGTCATTTACCCTGGGAAGTGTGGACAGGACTGTCCCTCATCTCACAGGAACAAATTCAGCGAGTGTCACTGAGCCTGCACTCTGGAACAAGGGTTTGGTTAACAAACTGTTTCCCAGAAGTCTCTGACTGAGCCTCTGAAGGCACACAGGTAACCCTGCAGGACGTCCTGCTCAGCTGGATTCCCGTTTCCTGTGAGTCTGAACAAAAGCTTTATTTTATTTACCACATTTAAACTGAAAGATTAAGTAAAGCATTGATAGGCTGACCAAAAACACTGAAATCCTTCCTGTTCAAGCAAAGAGAGGGAGAGACTTCCTGTAAATGAGAGGGGAGGAGCAAACATGACTGAGATACATGAAAACAGGAAGTAACAGAGTTCAGGGTCTGTTTGGAGACAGAGCTGCGACAGGGTGAGTGTAAACACCTGTACCTGCATGTTTTGACCACATCTGTGCCTGCTCAGCATGGTGGCATGATTCATTCTGAAGGCAGTGAATTCGTGTTTCATGTGTTCAGCTGCTGTGGATCCTGACAGGGACGTGTTTAAAGTGGTTGGGCTGATTTAAAGCAGGAAGTGCTGGATGATGTGACGAGTGTTAGTATGAGAGTGGAAATGGGTCAAAATTCATGAGGAACCAGGATGATTCTTTCCGGAAACATCAGGACGATCTGACCAACAGCTGTGCTGAGCTCAAAGTCAGGGTTCTGGCTGTCATCAGGTTTAGATCATTTACTGAAGGAGTAGAAATGATCAGTAAAATTTATATTAATAATTTCCTGGTACCTCCAGGCATTGCTTCCTTGTCTCGTGATCTTTATAGATCTCTGTCACTTGTTCCTCCAAATATTTTGATTTAAACTGCCATCACATTTCATTATTTATTAACTGAAGGTGCTGGAACCAGCAAACTGTATCACTTGTAAACAAAAGTTTGAGATCATCTACCGTAGATATTTTATAAAGGATCTATAATTGTCATAAAATACTATCTGTTGTTATTAAGTCGGTAGTTTGAGTGAGGAGGAAGCTTCACAGCAGCTGTGTGTTTGTGGTGGACCTCTCAGAAGAAGATGATGGAGGAAGAGGAGGGCAGAGGAGAGTCTGCAGACCTCAGTCCTGGGTAAGAGAATCGAACTGATCTATGTTTGTTATCTTAATAAAATGTATTTGCAAGTGAACACTGAAAAACAACTGCAATTATAATTTAGTTTTCGTACAGTCAGGGGCTCCTGGGCTGTGTGCACACCTGTGACCCTGTGTGGATCAGAGAAACTCCAGTATATAAATCATTACAGACGTCTGTACATCTTCATGCTTATAATGAGTCTATGTGAACTTTTAACCACAGTTATGCAGTGCTGCGAAAAAGTTTTTGTCCTTGCCCTGATTTTCTTCCTCTCCATCTTTTTTTATAATCTTACATTTACTTTTTTGCATTTGACACGATTAACATGAATTAAAAGAAAAGTTTTATAATAATTTTATTTATTACGTGGGAATCTGTCCAAATCTACCTGGCTCTGTGTGAACGAGGGAGAAACAGTTTATTTTACAATCTGCTGAATCAAAAAATTACTGAAATGAAACCTGTTTGACAAAGTAAACTAAGCTACAAAACCTCAAAAAGAGGCACATCATGCCACGATCTCAAGAAACGGGGCTTAACTGGGATTGATGTTGTGGTGTGACCTTAAACAACAGGCTGTTAATGTGGACCACATCTCTCCACAGTGATCTGAAAGACTCATTGGCAGTTCTTGTAAATGCTGGATTGCAGATCGTTTCACACAGGACCAGATAGGTTTGTAAATTTATTTGGTGACCCGAGACATGTGTGACCAATAAGGAATCAGAAAGGGGGAAATGCTTTCTCACTGGACTTTATATCTTGAAATTGTTTCTAAATAAGTGACAGTAAGGTTTTTTTTTGTTTTGTTTTGGGG